TGAATATTATTTAATGCACTTCTTTACTATTGGAAAATACAATATTTTAATTCAATAAGTTTTAAAATATAAAATCCTAACGAAAAATATTTGACATATGTATATCTACACATCCCCTTTTTTAAACAAATTTTTTTGTAACATAGATACACGCATTACATGTGTATATAGAAGTACATCTAAATACACAAATATATTATTATTTATCTTATGAAAATATAAAAAACATTAATATAATAATTATTAATGTAACTTTAAATTCTTTCACCAACAATTAAAATTTTATAATACCATTACTGTAATAAAAGTGAAAATATTTTCGAATTATCGAAAATAAACTTCCGGTATTTTTCGTTAGGATGTTTTCCAAATTTATTATATAAAAATAAAACACTGCTTATCTTCTACAAATTCGTTCATTTTCACATTGCATTTTTTCACCATCCGATTCTCGACTTCTCGCGGGATGTGTTTCTTCATTCATAGAGTTCGCATTAACACCTGGTGGTGGTGGAACGTTATTCACATGTTTCATGTTTGTATTATTAACTAGATTCGGAGGTTGGTAAGTTGCTAAACTTTTTAATCCAATTACTTCTGGATTTTCTTTCCAAAATCGGTCTGCAATGATGTCGTCTACTAGTGGAACCACTACTGGTTTTAATCGACCAGTTCCATCAGGTACTAATTTTCTTATAAGTGTGGTACCCTTTCGGAAAAGTGGAGGTTCATTATTATAATTTATACCAAATTCTTGAAAAAGCAATTCATTTTTGTGTGATGCTAATGTACCCCTAAGTTTTTCTTCTGCCTAAAAGTTATTAAAACAAGATTTAAAACTTTCTCTTAGTTTTGTGCATGCCTCATAAGTATATTATAAAACCTAAAGAATATGAATTTACCTGACTTGGAGTAAGTTTCGCTTTTAATACGAGATTCCAGAAACAAGTATTATATAAATTATTCACATGAACATCCGCTTGCCTCCAAGCTAAATAATCCCTTAGATTTTTATCAGTTGGATATAATATAACACGTGCGTCAAAGGAGGGTGGATAATATAATTCTTTGCCTCGAAAAAACCGAGGCCAATGGTAAACATATGCCGATGTAAACAGGGAGTTTACATTTGACATTAATTTAAAAACTGAAATAGAATAAAGTAAAATGTATTAAACATATAATATGAATGAAATGAATACAACAGTAGATTCTATTTGAACTTCATGCATACTCTATAGTTTTATTGTTTATGTTGATCATTTCAAATATGTAATGTTACAAGCTATTTTCTAATCTGTACATACCTCTTCTTTTGTAATGTTGTGTGTCTTTTCGAAAAACGAACGAATATTCGTCACTTTGACCGAAACCTAAAATGATTTCTTTGAAATCTTCCATAACCGTAATAGCCGCTCGATTCATCAATTCCAAGGCGGCTATATCGTTTGGTTTGGTAAATTGATGAGCATCGCAAAATTTTGAAAAATTTCTCCCATCTATTCTAACCACAATCCAACAATTTGGCAAACAACAGTCATCACGTTCGAATTCTTTTACATATTCAAATTTACTTTTAGCCATCGTTGTCAAACTTATGTGCCGGCTTATGACCACTTGTTTGACCAAGCTAATGATTTTCAGGAAGTTACTCTGCTTCATTCGTCTTTACTGTCAGAAAATACAAACGTTCTCTGAAACTGGCGAGTGTTGAAATCCCTTCGTAATTGAGGGTCACTATAGCTTGAGATGCATGAATTTTATTGCCAAAACAGAATTCTTTATTTTAATAATATTATAAAATTCTTTATTATACAACAAAGAATTTTTTTATACATATATTTTCAGGTACCCACGTGTACTTTTATTGGTTATGTAGATTCATATTGTTATTATATACAATAACATATGAATAAAATAAAAACTTGTACTGTTTTTAATAAGGTAAAATAATATCTAAGTTTAAAAAAGTAGTTATAATTTTTTACTAAAACATACTTTTTGTCAAGTTATTTTTCCTAAAATACGATACATCTAACTTGCGTAAACACGAATATTCTTATAAGATAAATACATTGACATTAAGTTCCAATTGAAACAGAGTTGGTAACCACTGTAACACAATGGATTTACACAAACGGTACGTGCATTTTCCAATAACGGATTTGTCGATATTGGAATTATTAGATACAGCATTTAAGGATGAACCATTTTCATTATTACACCGTTTAATTAAATATTATATCGACGAAGTAAACAAGGATACTTTGGATATAAAAAAATTGAAAACGTTTCGTACGATTTTATGTTACGAATATCAACTCCTATTTAATTCTGAAAGAAAATATGCAAGGACAGTATCAAATGAACTATGTTTCAACAAAATAAAAAATGTTTTATATTTGAGAAAACAATTCCAGAGTTTTACAGATTTATCGATTTTATATGATATTATAGTTTTATATACAGTGCTCTTTTGCAATTTACAATGTCTTGAACAACATCTAATGAATTTTCAAAAATCATTTTTATTAATCTCATTGGATAATGAAGACAGATCATGTTATATGAAAATACTGGAATGCTTTTTGGACTCATTGCAATTAAAACAATTGCTAAAAAATAATACAGAGTCACATTTAGCGGAAAATTTTTATTTGTATTATCAGAAAGATATACAAGTATGGCTAGAAATAAAAAGTAATAGAGAATGGCAATCTTTTGCTTCAATATTCCCAAAATTAATGAATACTTTTGGACCTGATAAAATTGTACCCGCTGTATTAGATTTTATTTTAAATAAAATGGATGATGTACAAGATTTACTTAGTGTACTAAGTATTATCATTGATGCATGTCTTTCTGAAAAGTTCAAAAATACAAGTTCAATATACCACAAGTTATGTTATACTGAAAACTTATGGTTAGTAATGATAAAAAGTTTAAAATCTCCTGTACAACAATACCGTAAACAAGGATTATTTATAATGAAACGAATAACAGATTTCATTAGCACTTTAAATGAAAATGCATTAAATTTGGAAAAAATTAAAACTGTACCATTTATATGTAAACAGTCAATTAAAACACAAATATTAATAAGTGATATTAGGCAAAAATTCTTTTTGGTACTAGAAGCTTTAGAAGAAAAGCAATATCATTTAATTGCACCAGCTTTAACACATATACCAAATTTAGTGAAAGGGAGTAAGGAACATGCATTGTGCAATGAGTGCTTCAGTACTACATGGTTGCTATTAATTTTTGAAAGAATGTTAAAGCATGAAAATAATGCTATAGTAAAGCAAGGAATACTTTATGTTTGTCGATTTCATGAAGTTTTATATGATTATCAATTTTTAAAGTTATTTATACACGTGTTAAATAATACGTTCTTATATGAATGTCAATTGTACCAAAAGGAACCAGAAATACTATATGAAATCACAACATTACTTGTACATATAAGAGAAAAAACAGTTGAATTTATATCTAAATTCCTAAAAGCAATAAGCGAGGAAATATGGGCTCCTATTCCGCTATTTTATATGATGTTAATTTTAAGAATAGTTACTAATAAAACTGCAAATTCTTGGGGAGAGAATGACTTAATTGCAATTAAATCTTTTGTACAGAAGAATTTACATGCGCATTCACGCATTTTAAGAGTTGCATCACAAATTGAACTCATAAGGACTGTTCCACTTTCTTTAGAGAGAATACATGATTTGAAAATTTTAATAAATATGTTATTGGAATTTCCTTCTAATGAAGCTCTTGTAAGAGGTTCATTTTCATGGAATATTATAACAAAATACTTAAAAATTGCAGTAACAGAAACAGAAGTATTAAGTTTTATTAAAAGTTTATGTGACGAACACTTACATCATGATACATGTATAAAAATGAATCCTGCAAAGTTTGCCCTTACTATTTTTATCTTGTACGATGCAGAGTTAATACTACATAAAAAAATATGTTTAGCAGAACAAATACTAAATTATTGGTTATCATTACTCAAAGATTGTAATGTAAGGCCTTATATCAATTTTGAACATATTCTTTACATCATAGAAGTTATGTCACATTTGCTTAATTTAAGTGCAAAGGAAAATAAAAGAATCATACAGTTACTCTCTCTGTATATTAACAATGCTTTACAATTTTTATTAAAAAATAATAAAAATATACCATTTAAATGTAATTACGAAGAAGTAAAAAAATGTATGACTGTAATTGTTTTATTTCTCAATAATGGAGATTTGATTCTGTCAAAAACAGAAATCTTGAATTATGTTGAAAAATTTAAATATGATAGTGCACAAATTCTCAAAAACATAGAACAGTTTACAAATATGCATTACATGTATGCATTACATATTTTATATTATACTCAAAACATATTAAATATAGATGCTACAGAATTTTATGGACAATCTTTGATAAATAAATGTCATACTTATATATCTGGTAATAAGGAAGATCAAATGGATTCGAAGGGAAAAATAGTCTCGCATTGCTATTTGTTATTAGCGAAACTTACAAATCAATTCTTATCGAAAAGAGAAGTAAAATTATGGCCAGAAAATATTGATTGGTTTAAACATATTTTATACATTTATGAAATGGGAGGAAATGAAATCATCCCAGAAGTAGCAGTGACCTTAAAAATAATTGTTGATAAAAGAGGAATAAATGATTCTGAAAACATATCAAATTTAGAATCTATTTTTACTATAATTTGGAAATCTACCTTGTTAAGTTCAAAAAATAAGTTGTACTTTTTATCAATAAAAAATCTTCTTGGAGTTATTATAAATAGCAATTTTCTGGTACTTCCGAATGCTATAAATCTTCTGAATCATGTAAGATATTAAAGTATTAGTCTCAAAAATGTAACATCTGTTACCTGATAATTATTTCATTAATTTTTAGTTTCTCAGTCAGCTACTTGAAGAAAGTAACAAAGTGCCAAAATTAAAGGCAATTTTATTGAATGAAATGAAGCTATTAAATGTATACTGCTTAAGGAATTTACAAGAACCATTATTACTGTGTCTTCTTCATGGATATGCACTTCGAAAGGACAAGCAAATAGAAAATCAAACATGCTCATATATTATAAAACATTATGAAAGTCTTTATCCACAACATATTTCAGTGATGTAAGTAGTTTCATTGTATCATTGTTTCATTTTAATTTCTAATTACTAAAATTTTCAATTTTATTAATAGAGATCATAATAATGACGCTAGTATCAGAGCACTTTCTGTTATACTATTGCACAAAATAATTACTACAGATGTTGAATTTATACCTGCATTTCTTCCAATCGTTTTACAGAAGTTAGAAGAGTATAAAAATAAACGATATTTTAATAATTCTTATGCACATAAGATGAAACATCGAATCATGCAAACCTTATTAATATTACAGCCTGTTCTGAATGAGGTAATAAGATATATAATTAACAAAATTGTAAATGAATTCCAATTAATAAAATTAATTTTTTGCAGATAGATACAACAACTGTAGTAGATCTACTGTGTAAACTAATGATTTTGGAAAGCAACCAACACAGTGTGCGATTAATGCAAGAATGGTTACTAATTAAAATATTTGTGGAGAATGAGAATCTTCGTCATAAATTATGGAAATTTTTTGAAGAGGTATTTAAAAAACTTGTTACTCAAGATTAAGATATGTAAAGCATATTTAAAATATTTGTACAGGCTATTACAACACGTCCAGGATGTACTAGTTCGATAGCATGTATATTTTATCATGTTGCAAAGTTACTTTCCAACAGTGATCAACGTACTTTTATTTCGATGGGAATACCATACATCGCGCATTGCTGCTTAGGACAGCAATATAATATGCGACTTTATAATGAAGTATGTTATACAAAGCATGCATGAAAGTTAATTAAATATAATTATGATAAATAATTTAAAATAGCTAACTATTCGTATTTCACATGTATAAAATAATACTATTAATATTTATGTTTAACATAGGTGATTTTTATACAACTGTTTAATATATTAGAAAGCTTAAACTGTGATAATATTACTAATGAGTATAGAGGATTATACAAAGCTATAGTAGAGCATTTTAAAGATGAAAATGCAATAAAAAGTTTAACTAAAATTCAAGATGATTTTTACCTTTCCACGTTTCATGCTTCAGACGACTATAGTCTGCAGGTAACATTGTTTAATTTAATAACAGTTTAAATTATAAGAATTTATAAAAATATAAATAACATTATCCTTTTTCTTATGTTTATAGACAATATATTTTGAATTACCTCGATTAACTGATATGGATCCAAATGAATGGATTTGTCCAGATGTATTTAAACAACTGAACTTTACACAAACTCAAAATCATCCTCTTCAGATGCTTAATTTAAACTCATCATTATCAGAAATTAAAACATCGTTATACATCATGAAATCCACAAGTATGTATCAATTATAATACATATTACAGAATATGTCTACATTTATATTATAAATAATCAAAAAATATTAATCTTTAAAACACAGCTGATTTTTCTATAAAACATTCTGAAATGAATATTGAAGAACTAAGTAATGTTCAGAAGAAAATTGACCCCTCTGTATCTGCAAATTTATTACATAATGACATTTTTCCAACAATCAGGGAATCTATTTCTCAGAAGAGAATATTATCTGATGATGAAGGTATTATAATTGTAGCATGTCTCATTGATAGTACTCCAAATTTGGGAGGACTTGCACGTACTTGTGAGATTTTCAGAGCGAAAGAACTAGTTATTGCTAATTTAAGTCTAATAAAAAATAAAGACTTTCAAAATCTCAGTGTAACAGCCGAAAATTGGATAAATATTACAGAGGTATTTGTTAACTTTTTACATATTTTCATGTTTTATATTAGGTGTTAGGAGAAGGTTGCTAACTTTTTTCTGAAACTTCGTTTATCAGCATAAAATTTATAGAGAAAGTCATGTTGATTGAAATAGTTTGTTACATTAAATATCAAACCGTCCATGTCATGAATCTGTTATTGAAAAATAATGTAAATTTATATTTTTTTATGCTGTTAAACACTAAGGTCCAGTTCTAACATCTAATGTAAGAAAATCATTAATAATTAATTTTTTATAATTTTATATTTTAGGTGAAGCCTCATGAATTGAACAAATACCTTTTGGAAAAAAGGAACATGGGATGGTCATTAGTAGGTGTAGAACAAACAGTTAATAGTACAAACTTATTAAATATGAAATTTAAGAAAAAATCAATTCTTGTTTTAGGGTAAGTAAATAAAAGAGATTAAAAAATTTCCCATTTTGTGATACATATGAATTCTTTTTTTAGAAACGAAAAGAATGGAATTCCTGCCAACTTGATACCTTTGTTCGATACTTGTATAGAAATACCTCAAGTTGGAGTAATTCGTTCATTAAATGTTCATGTTAGTGGAGCTATATGTATATGGCAATATGCAATGCAACATGTATTCTGTCTATGAATACTTATGAATAATATCCTACTTTTTAGTACTATAATACAAAATATTAATAAAAACATACATGAGAATTATGTAAAAATTTATAAAACTGAAATAAAAGAATGATGTAACAAAATAATATTAATATTTATTTTTAAAAATTTGAGTTTTTTTATGTTCATATATTTATGAGAGCATCTATAACTTATACAAATATTATATCTACATAAATGAAATACAATACATGTTTAAACATCGTATCCAACAATGTGTCTCTTTCCAATACATTCACCGATAAAGAACCAACATAGGACTTCAATGGTAACTAAAGTATTTAACCAGGCTTCGCGTACTGTAACTTCTTTGTATTTTCCACTTTTAGCAGATTGCACTAGATTTTGGATACCATTTTTAATGGCTGGAATATCAGAAATCTTTGGTGGTGCCAATTCTACTTTGCCATAATATGCCATTTTTTGGAGAACAGGCTTCGACAGTGTAACAGTAGCTGTAATAAATGCAGAGACATAAAGCTGATATCCTTCATCTAAATTGATTATACAAATAATTAATTAAAAATAAATATGCAATGCACTATTATTATTACTATTATATTTTTATCTGAGAATTTGAATAAATATTCTTCTTGATAAAATTGAAATTGATGTTATATAATAATCGATTATAACTAATTGTGATGGATGTGGTATTGAGAGACAAATATTGTTAATGAACTATTGAAAAAAATTAAATATGTACCTTTGCATAATTCCACTACTTTATTCATTTTTGATGCCATTTTCGATTCTTGAAACTTCAACCCTTTCAAGAGGACAGCCTATGTCGAACAATTGTCCAGTGCTTGCCGAAACTCTCTTTTGTAAAAGCTAATCCTCCATCTAGTGGAGACTTTCTAAAATACAATAGAAATTTTCTTATTCATAGGTTGTACACAGCGGATACATTAAACATAATCATTTATAATTTTTCAAACATTTCTCTGTTTTTATTGAAAAAATTAAATCCATTTTATCGCATAAGATATTGTATTTCAATTATAAAAACAAGTATATATAAATTAATGTTTGTAATAGGATATCAACTGTATTATGCGATATGAATATACTTTATAATTATAAAATTGTAAAAATAGAAATAAATTATCCGAAATTTTTGACGGCATTGCAAAGAAATTTATGTTATTAAAGTTAAAAAGGAAATTAATACATAATTAAAATTTTTTAAAAATGGACACCTAATATGGCGGTATCTTCTATACACAATGTGAAATGTTTATAACCTCCTACGATATTTTGGCAGCGAAATTTGTATCAAGCAATATTATTAATATTTACTAAAGTACGTGTTCATATAAGTCAGGACAGGGGTGAAACAATTATGATTTCAATAAAATTTTACTTATATATCAAAAATATAAGGTTAAATAATTTCGTACTTAAACATGTGCGAATGAATGTTCCAATGAATTGTTTCAATAAACAATGTACACATTATAATTTTCCACAATTGAACATGGTTAACAACTTCTCTACGACAAGAATAGTATTAAAAAGTAAAGATCGAGGTACGGATAAGAAGAAACCACGAATTGTGGACATTAGCCCCAGTGAATTGGAAGAGGTTGTGAATGTAGAACGTATGAAGTCAGAATTTGATAAAGTGATTGAAGATTATAAAGATACCTTGGTAAAAAATGTAGGTGTTCGTTCTAGTATAGGTGCTATTGAAGAATTACCTATAATATATGAAGGAAAAGAATATGAGCTTCAAGAACTGGCAGAAATTAGTCGAAAACCTAAACTGGTAGTAATTGATGTATCTGTTTTTCCTCAAATAGTTCCAAGCATTATGGATGTTCTATTAAAGTCTAACATGAATTTAAATCCACAACAAGAGGGTACTGTACTTTATTTACCAATACCTAAGTAAGTATGTCATATATTGATCATGCATTTATAGATCTATTGTAAAGTACTGACTTTGTTTTATAATTCAATAGAGTTACTAAGGAACATAGGGAAAAGTTAGCAAAAACTGCAAAAGCATATTTTATGAAGTCTAAGGATAAATTTACTGATGTACGGAACAAATATATAAAAAAAGTAAAAGGAAAAGAGAATGCTTCTTCGGAGTTAATTTTTAGAGTAGAAACTTATATAAGCAATTTAAGTCGTGAGTATATTAGTAATGCAGAAAAGTTATTGGAAGCAAAGCAGAAAGAACTACGAGGAGAATCATAATAATCATTCTTGTAGTATTGCATATAATTTATATTAAAATTGGATTACATATATATATGAACTATGCATATGGATTTGTATATTATTAAATTAATTCTATTTCAATAACTCTTTCTCTTTATATAAAATTTAATTTTTATCTTTTTTCACTTTGTTTTACCTAAGACTTTTGTGAAATTGATTATTTCAAATCTAGATTTAGCTATATTTGTCGATTAAGTATTATTTCTAACATATTGTAGAAGAGCATTGCATAGGGTTCGAGAAGCAGTTTCTAAAATCTCTTTTTTATGAAAACCTATACTCAGTCGTAAATAATTCTGACAAGTTTTTCTGTATGAAAATCTTACTCCTGGTATAGCTGATATTTTATGCTCTGTTTGACACCATTTAATAAAATTATTACCATCCATTCCTATAGAAAATAATATTTATCATGGTTATGAAAAAATTATACTTGGTAATGTACATTGTACATGCCTGATGGAAGATGAATCCATACAAAGTAACCACCTTCTGGTTGTTGGAAAAAACAGCATGTTGGTAAATAGCGCTTTAATGTATCACATACAGTTTTCAATCGTTCCTGTGAAGCAATATATATTTATAAAAATTTTCAAAATTTATGATTCATAATTTTTATCATCTTGTTTCCTATTATTCTTATTTTAAATACTTTTTAATATTTCTTTTATTTTTAAAGTATATTTAATTAAACTACTATAATATGCAAGAGTTTTTGATATACTCAAATATTTTTGATTTAGCGATGCAGTTTGGAAGATCACTGCAGTTAATTCATTCAGAAATGATTCGCTTTTCATCATGAAACTTACCATATAAATCTGAACTAGTTTATCAAGATATTCATCTTCAATTCTCAGATGCAGCAAACTTGCCACAACACCCGACATATAATTATTAACAGCACCACCACTGCGTAAAATCCCTCTAAAGATTTTTAAGTTTATGAAAAATATCCAGCGAAATATCTTAATATGCTATCTTTATACAAAATCCGTTTAAGTTTTACCATTTTTAATTGAAAAAGTGAAATTGTTAAATTTAAAATATGAAAATATAGAATTGAAAAGGCTGAGAAACCAAAAACATAAAGTTCAAGATGTAAAATTAAAGTTAGAAAAAGGAAGTATAAATTTGTAAATTGAAATTACTGAATCGTGAAATTGTGTAACTGCACTTACGATGATCTAAGGATTTTTACTAATCGTGGAGGACCTTCCATCCAACCGCAACGAATTGCTGGCGAAAGAATCTTCGAAAATGATCCATTCGATATGACATTGCCACCCTTGTATTCGGAATCCATTGGATCATCATAATAGTATAGTCGGTGCGGTGGGGGACCATTTCCATAATAAAGTAAATTGTAAACGTCGTCGCAGGCAACCAACACAGAATAATTACGTGCTATTTCGACTAATCTCTTGCAACTTTCTATTGTGAATTAACAATCCCAATATATAATTTATAGATTATTAATTATACGATAGATTAATAAAAACATAATTGATGGTTCACCTGGGGGCAACGTGCTACCAGTCGGATTATGGAAAGTAGGAATAGTGTAAAACATGGCCCAAAATATCTTCTCCTCCGTGTGAAGAAATTCGCCACTGATTTTCTCTTTGGCGACTATTTTTTCGAAAGCGTCTAAATCAACCATATCATTTTTCATCGGTACTAATACAATAAAAAATAAATGTTTGTTAATTACGCCATTTTTGTTCTTTCGTTTTCTGTATGTGAATTTATTCCGAAAAATGATTTAAATTAAGATTAAAACCGTGTCACTGTTTTCTCGTATATGTAGATACGCACCTGTTACTATTTTCATTAATGGAAATTGTTTGAAACTATCTAAAGCAATCATATAAGTGACTTCTTCCACGAAAATTACTCCATTAGGTGATAGAACGGTGTTCAACAAAAGTTGAAGGCCGTGTGTAGCACCGCAAGTCAAAATCAAATTTTCCATTTTTACTGGATCGCAGTATCGCCTGGTCAAAAACAATGCTAATTCATGCCGATATTCCCATAAACCTGCAGTGGGGCCATATTGAAAAAGATAGTACATTCCTTCTTTGCGTTCTTCCTCCTAAAAGGAAGTATGTTTCCAATGTATTAAAAATTCGGTCGAATAAGAAGTGCCTATTTAAACCTTCCGCTCTATATCAAATACAATGAATATTTTGGAATAAAACTAAATATGCTGTACTTATAATTACAGTGTATATATCATATTCCAACTTCTTACGAATCTTTCGTTTTATATTTCAATGAATTATCGTAATGTGTTCAGGTTTCTGGTATAAATATTTCTAATCTTACGATCATTTCCATATTTTTCAATAAAGTGACATAAATTTGGAAAATTCACAATGGAACATGAATTCGTTATTTTTACCAGTCTATGATTCGTCGCTTTTTCTATCATTTTTGGTAGATTTTGAAGTAGGTCAGGACCGGGAGCACCAACTGATAAGTTTATGGTAGCATTACTGTAAACATTAAATATGGAATCTCCATCGAAAAGGTGTCTCAAATACGGATCATCTATTGTCTCCATCTTATGTTTACTTCTGTAACAAATAACTGAAAAATTCTTATCGTAATCTTCGTCTACAATCAGCGGACAATTAATCGCAATATAATTCGTTGTCGAAAAACTTGTATGCGTTACGAAAATAAGTTGCAGCTAAAGAATCATACATTTTAACGTTATATTGATGTCGATTAAAATATAAAAATTGTTCGTTACAGCATTAATTGCAATCTATTTGCAATGACACAAATTCACTGATTAAATTTATGGACGTTCACTACGCTTGACGGCCTGCGTGCAACTAACGATAACAGCTGGAAAAGTTGTAATGAAACTTCGTTGAGTGACTGATGCTATTCCGTATACTTGTAGAATACATATATGTGTTACGTAACCATCTGTTACCTCGTGAACTTTAACACGACTGCCACGGTGGTCACCGATGACCGAAGCTTTCAAATTACTCGAAAACAATTATAATTCGTAACATAACTAGCGTCAAATGAAAATGTTTAATAACGAAAATAAGTAGATTATAGTGTGACCTAATAATCATGTACCAAATAATTGATAATTATTCCTTTTTATTTTTTCTATAAAAGAAGAAGTAATACATAAAACGCTGACGTTTTTCGTGGCAGTGAACGTGTTAAGCGAAGCAAATCTGGCACTGATATTTATGTAAATTTGTTTATTTTTAAAGGCGAATTAAGGGGAGATTTCAAATATACGCTTGAACTAGACAAAATGTTCATAAAACAAGTAAAGGGAAAATCATTCACGAATTTGATAGAATAAAATTTTAATTCAAATGTACAAATGAAATACAACAATCTGGAAGGTTTACATATTAAACACATCAAAAAGTCTCCGAACAGAGTAACGAAGAAATCGGGAATGAAAGAAACTACGATACCTCATAAGAATGATGGTGATTCTTTATTACAATAATTTCTTTACGATAACACAATGATATTATAAAGTTTTATAAGTTCTATAGGTCCACAACCGAATGGCAAATGCAATATTCCTCGCAGCTAATTATCCCGGTGATCAAACGTATTGTACAATTTCTAATTCACACTCATACTTTCCATACGTTTTTTTCGTCGGTTTACAAAAAAAAGGGAGGGAAAGAAAAGGAAAACGAAATATCATCGAACCAGGGGGAGTAGGGGACACAGGTTAGAGGAAAATGCGAAAAAACGGGTCTCACAAAATTTTTCATTCTTCATCCATTCCTCGGGAGTCGTCGGATCGGGCGCGAACACGTTTCCCAAACGTTGATACGCGCCGATCCGTTCAGCGAACGCGACGAATGTTTATATATTACAAAGGAGAGAAAACCGCTGACGTAACAGTTTTTATAACACTTAAAAATGTAAACGCAATGTACACGATACGTATATCCTTACATCGTTAATAACAAGATAGTGCATTCCGCGTGCGGCGAGATTGGAAATCCGTGCGACAACGTTTTCGTCCACCAGCAACTAGAGCTAACCGCGTTTGAAAGGTAAGAAAGAAGAGAAAACAATTTTCACGTAAGACATTTGTTCCCATTTATCACAGAACACCGCACGAAATTCTATTCCCTTTGGAAGGCTTTTATTATACTTCGCGGACAGGATGCGTTGACCTCATGCAACGGCCTTGTCTATAAAACGATTCACTTTATAGAAATTCGAATGCTTATTCAAATATCTTAGCTAAAAGATTTAACTGTCACCAGTTTTATCGTAGAAATCAGAATTCCCGGGATGCATAAAATTGAATTGAATTACCGCATCTTGTCCGCCGAGTATACCATCGTGGATGAGATCGTCAATCTCGCGGACGCCCGATGCACATCTTTCACAAGAAATGAAACGCAACGCCTGAGAGGATCGGTTTCATCTCACCCTCCGAGGAGAACACACGTATGTGAAATAGCGTTCGCTGTGTCGCGTGTTCTCTGTACACAACATGGCACGTCCTAATCCTAATTCTTCCAAATCGTTGTCTTTTTTCCCGTTCCCTCTCCCCCGGCGCGGTCGAGAGGAAACCGAACGAAAGAAAAAAAAGAACGACTACGGATTCGCTTAATTTACTTCAAGTACATTTCCGTTTCTTTACATTCGTAAAAAGTCTTGCCTTACGTGCTAAGTGGGTCGCTAGTCTATTTACAAGACGCGTTTTCTCTTTCATGTAAAAGTCGAGAGGCGGATTCCCGTGCTTGGCTACGGCCAATTTCATTGGTCCCTTTCTTCTTTTTTTCCGCGGAGGCGAATGGCATACAAAAAATATATATATATATAAGGGATCGTGTGACGTTTTAAGTAGAGTCGCGGGAAACGAGAAAACAGGTTCGGTGTTTCTTTTCCCGTTGCGCGATTCGGCGCGTCGCATTGTTTCGCGTTCCCGGGGGGCAGTGAATTAGGACAATTTCGTTGTACTGTCGTAGTTTGCTGCACTACAAGAGAAACAGAAGGGGTTCCGGAACAACAATCGAGATGTTTTAAGTGTCCACGAGAAATAGAAGAACGTTTCTTATCACAGTCAACGGCGAACCGCGCGGATGTTGCGTACGCGGGGCGCTCGAAATTTCATTAGAACCGTCCGCGATCATCAAATGGCCCCGCGTGCCATTTTTGACATCTCATGATTCGGTCGCGTGAAATCGGGACCCGGGCGCACCGAACTCTTCGGGAAACAGGGACAAAGCGGTTGGAAAAACGATTTCGCTCGACGAAAAGACAGGTCCACGCTCGCGCCATTGGAATGACCCTTCCGTGTCGTGGTTCGGGGAAACAAGTTTTCCCGTGGAAATTTCCAACGAAAAGGACCGTTTTGGGAATGACGAGCGTGGAGGTCAGGTAAAGGTAGAAGGATGGGCGACGATTGCTTATGCCATTTTACTGTACGTCGATTCTTAGAGTAGCCTTAAACAAATTGGTAGACAGTTACCTACTTTATTTACAAGCCACGGCGAATGGCACATTAAGATTATCTTTGCACTACTTGTTCGTCGTACGCGCTCGCGTGCGCGTGACAGTTCGTCGTGTACGGGACACGCACCCGTTTCGGTCTGACGGGGAAGGTTTAGCACAGTTCTCGCGTCCTACGTCTAATCACAATCAAAACACGGCACTCGGGCGAAGTGTCCTTTTCTAAGTACTCTGAAGTTTCCTAAACACTAGGAACCGGGTCCGTCTGTTCTTGATCGAAGGCCCAGGACGACCGCGGCCGACGGATGATACCGATTCTACAGGTCCAGCTTGGAACAACGGCAACAGTCATTTGATTTCGGCGATCCTTGGAATCAGACAGTTGTCTCGTTCTTCCTGAGAGGCTTCAGCGGCTGCAACTCACGTTCCAGGCGGTCGAAGTCGTTGTAGTACTCGTGGTCGGACTCCTCTTCCGAACTCCTTTGTCTGACCTGCGACCCGAAGGTTCCGTTCGTTAAGACCTTCTCCAAGTCCGGGGTCGGGATGCCCAACGTCTGAGGGGTCAGAGGTCCTTCGTCCTGGGACATTATATATTCGGGATTATCCAACGACGTTTTCCCTTGGATGGTCAGGAATTCTGGATACTTCCGGTAGCCGTTGTTGATTCGCTTCGGTTCCATGTCTGGAAGGGAAAGGTAATGTAATAACGGGTGTCAATTGGTAAATATATGCTCAGTGATTTGCAATGGATATTCCACTTACCCGCTGGCTTCGAGTCCCCTATGAGATCCATGTATTGCGTCGTGTTTGTCGGCAATTGCGGCGATGGCATTAAATAGTCGTCTTCGTCTAATGGCAAGTCTAGCTTCAGGTTTCCTACTTGAGCCTGCTGGTGCGCGGAGTTCACTTCGCCGTCATAACAATCATCCGTCACATCGCAATCTGAAAAACAAAGGCATTATGAATATGGGTTCTACCTTTAAAGCTGGCTTTGATAACAGAGAGTTGTAATATGTCGGGGATTAAAACTTACCTCTGACGCTGATCATCTTTAATGGGTCCGAACAGTACCTCGAACTAGAGCTGTCCGACCCTACCGGATGGCCACAATGACCATTCGGTGTTACAAAATGCGGGTGCTGGCCAGAATTTCCCGGCTCGTGCGACACATTCCCGTTTCTATGATTCGCCCCGTACCTCAACAGCTCCCTGTCCCAGTTTTGTTGGTTTTGAGGGGTGGGCGAGTCAGCGGCTAATGGTTTTCCATTGGGCCAGCAGGCTTTCACCGGTGTATTTGGCGGGGAACCGGAAGTATTGGAAGCTGAAAGCCCGGGGGGAATCGGGGCCCTGGATTTCGGCTGAAGGTACTCGTCAGCATCCACTAGCGCCTCGGGACCGTCCATAGCCGACGCAAGGTTCCGTATCATTTCCTTTTCGTCCTGAAAATGTATGGAAAGTAATGTTTTTATTGTCAAAACTGAACCGTTGCGTGAACTGACAAAAATACTTTCTGATACATCAACAAAAGACAGAAGCTTTTTTTAACGAAAAGCAGAAATATATTTACTTGTTATCCTGTTAACAAAACATTGAAAGGATACCCAGAATTTGCTTGTAACACTAACCTGCAATGTATACGAAGGTAGTCTCATATATTTGTCGCCCTTGATGGCAAGGTATCGGCCAGGATCCCTGGACATTTTCGCAAAGTCCTCGGCCAGTTCCTTGAAACTGGGCCTGGACTCGGCGTCCAACATCCAGCACTTGATCATAATCATGTATACGTCGATCGTGCAAATCGCCGGTTGCGGCAGCCTCTCGCCCTTCTCCAACAATTCCGGCACATTCCTCGCAGGCACGTTTTCATACGGTCTGCCACCATACGTGAGAACCTCCCAAATCGTGACACCGAAGGCCCAAACATCCGATTTATGCGTGAACACTCGATGCTGGATGCATTCGAGGGCCAGCCATTTGATCGGCATTTTACCACCGGCAGCTTTGTACTGTTCCTCATTGATGTCCAGGAGCTTCGCCAAACCGAAATCCGTGATCTTCACGCAGTTGGGCGTTTGCACAAGGACGTTTCGCGCCGCGAGATCTCGGTGGACCAGCCTCCTTTCCTCTAAATAAGCCATACCCCTAGCAATTTGCGTGCACCAGTTTAGCAGAGCTTTTGAGCCGATTTTGTCCTTGAACGTGCGCACGAAGTCGAGCAGACAGCCTAACGGCATTAGCTGAGTGACGAGCATCATTTGCGATGTCATGCAAACTGCCAACAGCTGCAGCAAGTTCGGATGTTCCACGCTAGCCATGATGTACGCCTCGTCCAGGAATTCTTTGGACGTGTTTGCTCCTGTGCCATCGTGCAGAACTTTTATAGCTACTGGTATCTTCACGTTCTCTCCTTCAGGTACCCAGACACCTTTGTAGACGTTCCCGAACGCGCCGTAGCCTAGGATGCCTCCCTTCCGCATCTCCTCTTCCTTGATGATACGCAGCTTCGCTAGGTTCGGTTTCACGCCAGTCGGACGAAGAGGCTCGTTGTCATCCAGTCCGGTCAATGCCATCGTCATCTTCACCGTGTTCTCCTTCGCCTTCGCCCGTACGCGCCATAAGTACATAATCACGGTAGTGACCACGATGAACACTACAGCGAACACCACGACTCCCGCCAGGATAGCTGGTTGAAGCTCGTTATCCACTTGGAATCCAGGCACAACAGTTTCCAGGGAACAGTAGGGCTCGCTATCCGGAGGAAAGATCTTGTGCGGGTATTCGGGGGGACATACTTCTGTGCAGTTGAAGGCCGTCGTGTTGCCGTCTATGTCTTCGTCCTGAAAATCGACGAGGGACATTGAAAATCAGAAAAGATATTGTTCAAACTTGAAATCAGATTTTAGAAGAGAACAATCACCTAGCAATTCATCCGTATCGACTAAACAGATTAGCGTTACAGTACTATTGTTTTCGGGCAGTAATTATGTTACTTACAACGTTAATTTTATAGTTCAGACATTTGTAGCATTGATTGGGTCCCGGTCCGAAGCAGCCTCGACATTCGCTGAAGCAAGGTATGCAAAGCTGAGTGCCGGCGTCCGCGAAGTGATCCGCGGGACACTCGTCTTCACACTGCTCGCCCCTTTTGAATTTCGTACACTCTTGACACACGTGCTCGTGGAATCCGTAACCGGTGCACTTTTTGCAACGAGGGTGGCACTTGCGACAGACGGCTTTTCCGGCTAGAGGCTTCAGAGCTCCTTGCTCCTGGGGACTTACCCATTCGTAGTAATGTCCTGTAACGGACAAACGTGTTCGCGTTATTGTTTGATACTCTTTAACCCATTTCTTATTAGTAATACATTGCTTCTTACTTGTCTAAGAGGATACTTGTATATGCATTTATTATATTCAAAACCAGTCAATTAACACTAGGTTCACGGAACAGAGTTTTTGGCTCATATCGAGTTTTATGATCATTGCCTAGTAAATGTTTGCGTTGATCTTGATCAATGCAATTACACAAATATGTATTCCAATCTTTTGTCTTTCATATCAATTTTATCAATTTTTAGCTACCACGGACTTTTATATGTCTCCAAGCGCAAGAATGCAGCTAAGGAAGCTTTTATCAAATATTGAAGGATCATCAAGGGTCGCTCACCCTCAGGACACGGTTCCCCTTTCTGCAAACATCTTTCAGGTACATGGCCGTTCATGATCGCCTTATCGCAGCTGTGGCATCCATTAGGGCCGATGTTATTCTCGGGTCCCTCGCAGCCGCCCACGCAGTTCTCGTGACAGTCCTTGCACACGCCGTTGTCGTTATACTTCGAGGACGGGCATTCGGGCACGCAGAACGGGCCGTCACGCGCGTGTTTGCATTTCGTGCAGTGCTCCGCGTTCGGTCCTGTGCAAGTGCCGTCGCATTCGTCGTGGCACAGCTTGCAGGTCTTCTCGTCCGCCTGGTAGATCCTAGAAAAGATTTAAAGGTGTCCACTGTGAACGTGTCTCCGAATCATTTCTTTCAGTGGTTCTACAACAGTGCAAGGCTGCAGGCATAACGAAGCGGAAAGCTTAAATCCCCTCAGGCTTTAATTTACCTTCGTTCCAAGATCTGAGGTAGGCAAATTTAATACAACAGAAGTGGCATACGTTATTGAACAATTTCCTTTCATTTCTGTTACTTTATGCATTCGACTGATTCAAATTTCTATTTACCCTGGCGCGGTGCAATCCTGGAGACAATCGTTCCCTAGAATGAAGTTTTTGCACGACAAACATTGCGCCGGACCGGGACCCCAGCAACCCTCGTCGGAACACTGTTCGTCACAGACTAGTCCATCTTTTACTGCAATCAAGGAAGTATTGGATTTAATTTATATTCGGCTTCAATATTCAATTCTTACATCATCAATCATTACACTTCTCAGTAGGAAAAAATAACGCGGCACAAGATAAACGCAAGTTTCCCAGATTCAGGGATCATCTACATTTCCAAGGTAAAACAATTTAGAAACATAAGACACAGTTCGGTTACTTACTGCATTCGCTCTCGTTCCGATTATTAGACAGCAAGCTCTCATGCTCCGAGGATTTTTTGATGCTCGTCCAGTTGATGCTCTGCGCGTAACAGAGATTCTTGTTCTCCAGGATGGCGATCGAGCCCGAGAGGATCTTCTTGAGGGAGCTGAGCCCGAACGACACCAGCGACGTCTTCACGATGTACAACGAGGCGAAGTATTCTGTGAGCGTTCTACCCCCGATCATCTCCAGGTTCCGAAAGTAGGATAGGTTTTTGAAGTCCTTGTGGTCCCCCTGGATGTTGAGGAATCCTGTAATCTCCTTCAGCGTGCTGAACACCTCTAGCTTGTCCGGGTGCATCTTCTCGTACCGTTTGCCGAAGCTGAAATTCGGGTAAACGTGCTGGAAGCCTTGGAAACTCTGGTCCAGGATCGTGATCGAGCCTTCGATGATCGTGCAGTCCTTGAAGCTGTCTATGTTCCCGGAATGCACCTTTTCGACGCCCTGGCAGGCCTTCGGGCAGGGGCCGTCGCAGGGCACGCACTCGCCGTTCAGAGCCTTCTTTTTCGGCGGACAGGACCTTACGCAAGCGCCGTTGTCTTTCAGGAGATGTTCCGGACACCTTCTCACGCAGGTTGCACCATACGCATATTTTCCGTCGGGATTAGCTTCCCACGAATACGTGGTTGGATTGTACCTGAAAGGATCGTCGTTTGAATGCAGGGTCGTAAACTTCGCGGGAAATTCGATACCCCGCGATACCGGGGCTCCGGCCGACGTAAGTAAGATTTATCGATAATAAGCGGGCTATTGTTAAGCGATACACTATTTTTCAAACGGATCCGTTAAACTAGTGAAATACGCGTATGCCGACACGACCTGACAGACTGTTCGACGGCCTCTCCTCTCCCGGTCGCAAGTGACGGCCGAGGGTGTTTTAGTGCCGCATTCTTGCAATTCGATTTTATACGGAATATTTATTCTATCTGCGCGAATCTGGAAATAGTATCCGACGATCGGAATGAGTTGGAACATTCGAACGTCGAATAGTTTCTGAACGCGATTTCGTATTTATTTTCGAGCTGGTACAATTAAGCTCTCGTTTTGTAATAGTAACATCTCCCAGGAAATTGGTAATAAACGAAATGATTTAAAGGGCCGTTGGAAGGACGTTCGTGTTATTTTCAATAAAGAGACACCTGGCCAGCAGAACCCTGTGTTCCGAGCTTACTCGCGACCAACAAATTCGCAGCCGAGGCTTCCGAGATTATTCAACGATTCGAAAGTGTCAAGACACGATTAACCGGGCGGACGACAATAAATACAAATTTGTCTGCGAGGATTATGCAATAAAGTCCTTAATGACGGGCATCGGGCCCACTTACTTTTGCATGGGCGGGCATTCCTGCGTGCAGACACCGTCGTCGAAGAAGTTTTTGCAGGCGAGACAGTCGCTCTGTTTCGGGCCCGTGCAGCCACCGGCGCAAAAAAGATGGCAACACTCCCGCGGATTGGGCCCGAAGCACCTGCCCTGCCAGCACTGCGGGGAACAGTTCGTTTTCGAGTACCTCTGGCAGTTCTCGGGCCCCTCGCCCCAGCAGCCCTGCTCGCAGCTCTTATCGCAGTTCGTGCACACGCGTTCCGGCGACGTGAAATTGTACACGTAGAAATAATTCCCGCCCTGGCCGGTGATTATTTCGTCCCAGTTGATCGTGCGGATATGGCAGAGGTTGTAATTGTTGTACATGCCCACGCTGCCGTTGAGGATGTCTGGAAAACGACACACGTGCGTTCAGTCTCGCTCTTTACCCCCGGCCCGCTTGACATCGAAATGGTAATAACGGGGCTGGTAAACCGCCTCGGCGTTCACACGTGACGATTTAATTGCGCCCACCTTGCGCGCCTGACGACTTTTGCTATGATTCTAGGGTGCGCGATGGGTAATCGGTGCTGTGGAGTTTGTAGGTACTCGAGAGGCAGCTAGTATTTTGTTGCTTGATAGACTGTTGGGGCGAATTCGGTATCGCGTATCTCTGATAAATGTGTAAACAGAAGAAGATGAATTGTTTCGCTGAACATTTTATTGTATTTAACACTGAAGCTACCAAACAGATCAGAATGATGATCCATTCTAGAATTATTGGAGAGATACAAATAGTTTTCCGAGAAATTATCAAATAAATTGTTTCAGTAATGTACCAGCTAAGATATAGGAAATTCCAAGAAATTCATTAATTGGGTTAACAGAGGTGAAACTTAGGTCAGAGTAAAACAGTTTTTACTTAAAAAATCTGGCGATGTAAAGGCGATTAACGCTATAACTATCAAGTACTGAAATTGACTTTTTAAAGTTCCTCTATAGAGACTCAAAGAGTGTATCTACTGAAACTTTAATTGATTTACAATTTGGTTTGTGTATTGTCAAATCAATTTCTTTAATAACTTCTCACAGAAGAATCTGTTATGTTCTTAATAATCACAAGATGGAGAAATCAGGAATGGATCATTTTGACCCGTTCGGTAGTTCTAGTGTGAATTTAGAGTTTACATTCTCGAAGTGTTTTCTATGTTGTGGTGTTTGTTATATAAACAAAAAGAGGATTACCTCTGAGGGCCGGCATCTCCAGGTTTTGCATCTGACACATCGTAACGAACAGGGCGAACTCGGCGTCGTGGATGTTGAGCTTGAAGAGCGTTCTGCCGCGTATGATCTGCAACCGCGGCAGAACGATCTTCCGGACGTCCACGTGGCTGATGAGGACGTAGCCGGTGACCTCCCGTATATACTGGAGGAAGCTGAGGTCGAAGGTCTCGTTCTGAAGCCATGTGATCTCCAGGTTACCGTCGACATAAGTACAGTTGGTGTACCGGTCTCGAAGATTCCGGTAGTGGTGTTGCTTGTTGGACGGAACAGAGAGGCGGCCATTGGTTCCGATGCAAACTGTAACAGAAAACAAGTTCGAATTTAGCAGAGAAATCGCAAAACGATTTGTTTTACAAGCACATTGCAATTACTTAGTATATTTTAGTATATTTAGAGTAAAATACTGTGTAAGATAAACTGATCTAACGGTGACCACCAACTGGATTTCATCAAATGAAACTTCAAACAGATTGCGAATGATCGATGTTATTTGTATTCCGCTAGCTACCAATTCAAAATACAAATACAAACGTTTAAAATTATTGTTCGAGCATGACTACATGCGATTGTAAAGTGGCACTGTCAATCATTCAGCAACAATGACATCTCATGAACGACGAGTGAAACGTAAACACTCATCGCGCGACTTCCGCGCGTCGACGACCATCCCGCTCGTAGATCCACCGAGTGAAACCAGCTGAGGTCGCCACCCACATCGTCGAAAACGTTTCTCCTGATCTATAGATAGCTTTCTAAGGTTCAAAAGCGTGCTGTACCGGTGGGCGAACCACTTGCATCCACGTGAATGCGACTGATTTCGTTGTGCCACCGGATACATGGTGCTCGGATGATCCTTGCCGCGTGGATTTCACGTTTCTGTGTTCGAAACGTCACGAACCATTCTAGTTCCACGGTAAAACCATTTTAAATGCTTTACAGTACCAAGTTTCAGCAGATCAGAACGCTACAAACATAAAAATTTCCCAACACTTATAAAACATCGAAAATTGACTGACTTATCCAATTTACTATGAAAGCTCTAATCACTTAATTGCAAGGAAACATCCTCTCATCAAAGAACAACCTTAAAGCACATCGCCAGAACCAATAAAAATTTTTCCATAAAATTCCTTCAATTGTTCCTCACTCTCCACATTTAGCGCCCAAGAAACCCTCCTCAAAAAACCTAATTAGATCAATCGTTCGCGCCGCGAACACTCGCATATCGTATCGCAATATCATTCATAACTCCGCTAATAACCGGAACATCGATAGAGGGGTTCGGCAAGTCGCTCACGCCTTGGACAAAAACGGTCGTCGATGATCGACAGACGTCCGAGCACCGGACCCGTCCCTCAATTCGGACTTCTTCATCGCCTTACGTCTTCGTCGCGGAGTTGCACGGAACTCGGACCTATGGCTGAGGCGAAGGAAGGGGACAGTAGCAGATCACTCGCGTCGGGGGCACATAGTCGCACGTACCCGTTCGTCTTTCGGAATTCGGTTTTGCTGTGGCGACGGGGGGCGCGGAGGGTCGTGTCGCGTTCCACCGGCGAAAAGGGCGGTCTTAATCTGATCCTCTGATCGGAATCATGCGAAAATAATTGCGCAACGACATCCTTCTTGCGGGCCGGGTACGCGACGGCGAAGAAACGGGTACACGCGGGAAAGAAGCGACGGAACGGAGGAACCGGGCCCCTGGTATTTTCTGCCGGCCAGATGCTGCGGCCCGAGAGCACGAATGCAGAACGCGCCGCTCGTATGCCGGCCGCCGCCGGCGCCACGCAACTTCGAGAATGCGGATCGACCGTGGATCTGCATCAGCACCGGGCCACGGAACCGTCCCCGGTCGCGGTCCCGCGTTTCCAGCTCGTCCTGGCCGAAGATTAATATCCTAATCGACGTGGACGACAAGAAACGGCCAGCTTCTTGCGCGGGAATCCTGGCTAGGCTCTGATTGCGAGGCATGCCCGGCTGGCAAAAAGTTCATTAGGGTTATTAAATTTGTCGGCGTTCGGCTCTTGGTACCCTGCCGTCTGGCGTCTTGTTGCGCGTTTTGGGGATTCTTCGTAAGATGTCGTCTTGTGGGAATCGGGGATTGATTTCCGCCGGTGTTTAGGGGATGAATGAGCGCTATGCTCATGTTTGAAGACTGCAAAATCTACTGTGGTTTTTCTGGTTTAGTTTCTTTTGTACCATCTCCATTTTGGAACGCATTTAAGATATTGAATTGTCTAGTGAAATGATGCTTCGTTTCGGATAGTCTAGTTCAAGAACTGCGTAAAGAGGCTCTAACAGTAACAAATCTTGAAAATCAATGAAACTATAAACAAAATACTTGTCAATGTCCAAGTTTCCTTAACAATGTCTAGAAAGGTTATCCAATTTCCCGATATTTTTTAGGCATCCGGAAGAGGATAACTTTCTAATGGGCAGTCGAGAGAAACATGGAGTCCAAGAAGCATCGAAGAAGAGAATCGTTTCTGGCGAGGGAACTGCAAGAATTTCATTTAGGACAATTTAAAAACGCGCCGAGTCGCTGATGAAAAGATGGCGTTGGCGATTATCCGCGCGATTCCTCGAAAATTCCTCGCTGTTCACATACCGGCGGACTAATTAGCGGCGTTTGCGCGTATATAACGTCGCTGCACGGCGGACCGTCGATGCTCGCGTTTGCTCGGGGACGCGGGCAACGTGTAAAACTAGTCGGAGGGCGACTTCCGCTAACTGGAGGCGCCGTCGGTTTCCTTTTCAGGCAACACGGCGGCCTGAACTCTCCCGTACATCTCCCGTGCTCGTTCGTCCGTCTGTTCGCTCGCTATTTTACAACAGAAATCGCCTCCCGCTTCGCGTCTCTTCCCTTTTATATTCCGCTGGACGTGCGCCTCGTTCCACTTCGCTTCGTGACGAGCAAAACGGCCGACGCCATGGAAACTCACGGGGAGGAGGAATATAAGGAGCGCTCGTTTCGAACCCTCCGGGGACGTGTCGATCACGTTCCCTCTTCTTCTTCAACGTTTCCGCGGAACTTTTCACCGGCGCGCGCTTTTACGGTTTCAAGAATGATTAACGCGAAGACGGAGATTCCCTTGAAGCGAGCCTTTATCGAAATTAACCCTTTGCACTCGAAGCTCCTTTTCGCTCATATATGCATAAAACGAAAAGTCATAGATGTATTTTGTGAAGACCCTCGAACAATCGCCATAACTTTCGTACAAATTTCTCGAAAAGTTTTTTTCTTAACAATTTTGTAACATTGTTAATGATCATTGTAACTGTGAACGATATAGAAATCTATCGTGATTCGTGTGTCGAAGAATTTAAATGAAGCTCGAGGCACTCTAAGCGTATATAATTTTCATTCCGAAGGGCTGAGAGTATTCGAAACAATAGCCTAAAAATGGCTAAGCGAAATTACCTAAAATTCTCGTATCGCGCAAAGGAATGGCGGCTTTCGTGAAACGTTTCCAGGTAACCAAATTGCGAGGCGATCGCTGCAACCGCATCGGAGATGTATCGTGTTGCATTCGGGTGGAGAGTTACGGCCGAACAGTGATAAAAAGAAAGAGAGTTCGCGCGATAACCGAATGGGCGTTTAGATGGGGAGAGAAAAGTGGTGGTTCAGGCCAGAAGTGTCGGTCGAGGTCGGCGAGGCAACACGTTTCCTCCAGTGAGCCACGACTGCTACGAAATTCATCGGCTAATCTCTTTCTTTTTTCCTTACCCTGCGGGCAGAGGGCTGCAGGAACGTGGCAATTATCTTCGACAACGGGGTTACGAAAATTACTGGGCGAACCGCTAGGCCGGAATTAAAATTCTCCTAAATTTACGAAGGCTGCACGCTTCCGAAAGACAATGTCGATATCAATTACGGGGTTCAGGCGCGAATTCGGCTGTTCGCCAATTATTTAGGCGATTCTAGGAAGCTTCCCTGCGAAACTAGACTTCTCGTCCTAATTATTTTCTAGTATGAAAATCATCGTTCGTGCAGGAAGTGACGTGAACTCGAAGTTGCCGTTGTAAAATATAAATAGGATTTACTCCGCAACTTTCGATTTTTTCAAATAAATCGTGGCAATTTAATTTGAAATTAATTTTCCTGTATTGAAATTGATCTCGATATGTGGATATTATTTCCACGAAGCTCCGCACAGTTTACATAAGCAGTACGTACATATTTAATGCTTTTCCTTGGAAACTACTTACATATAATTATCTTGTTGCCCGTATAGTAATTAACTGTTCTTTTTGTCGTATCAAACGTAGAAGATTTTCTCAGAAGACAACAATTACAATGCATGCTATTTAAGATAGGATTTAATATTCATACGCGACGGGGTACATGTCCCTGCTCCGTTTTATTACCTTATATAATTGATTAAATTGGTAAATTGAACAATTTGGTCACAAAGTGTTTCATTGTTGGAATGACTTCAGCGGTTATTGGCAACAGTGTGCTCGAGGTCTCGAATAATTATGCAAATTATTGTGATAGGCGCCTATTAGCTCTTCGACTGTACGCTTCTGCGGTGTGTTCGGTTTAACGCGTACCCCCGGGGTTGAGTCTTTTGAAATCGCTTGGTTTCCCGAAAGTAAGTGGTTTCTGAAGGAATAACACGACTACGAAATTGATTCTTTTGCATCACTTAAATTCAGTGTGAAGGCTCCACCATTCATTCCCATTATTTTACAAAAAGAAAGTAAATGTTTCTGGAATTTTTGGTGAAAAGGATTTACTCCCTTGGGAATTACGTCGTGTCTCAAACAAGACAAGTTTCATTGCTCGAGCACGCAATTTACTCTGTACCATAAATCCCACAAGCACGATACTTACCGCAAAAATAAACTCAATGATTCCGTTTCTGATTTTTATTATCCACAAGAAATAAAAATCCTTAGCGAATTAATATTACCAATTTCTTCCACACAAAATTTCAATACAAATCCCAATTTCAACCTTAAACAAGAAAATTCTAAAACTAATCTCCAACTCATTACCGTCCTCTATAAAGGTGGCCAAAAACTGCAACGATAAATCGCGCGGTCGCATGCGACCCGGTCCCATAGTCACCGATCTCACCCCCTGAAATACATCGAATCCACGGATCGCCTTGTTCCGCTCCATGCATAATGGATCACGGACGCGGAACCGTCCGGCGCGGCGTCCAGTCAATCCGCGAACCGCCGGAGAAGAAGCTATCGCCACGTGGACTCGCCAATGAGTGAACCCGCCGACGAAAAAAGATCTCCGGACGCCGGCCCTTGTGGGACCATCGAGGGAGGGCGGAGGGAGGGTC